GCCCGTAATGGTCGCGCCTCCCACGGTTAACGCCGTACAGCAAGCGACGCATCTGGCGTTGTTACCGATGCAGTCACCGCATTTTTCACAGCAGGTGTCCCCCCGGGTACCAGAAGAAGCGTTGCTCCCGGCATTCGAAGAACGCGAGGAAGGCTCTCGGTACTCCATGGAAGCTAGCTAGTAGTACCCCTGGTTGGTCTGAGGTCGGCGTCCATTACCAGCCCCAGACTGACCGGCGTTTAATGTGGCGTTACTGGTGGCGGAAGAGCTCGAGGAGCGGGGGTACCCGCTTCCAGAACCAGAAGGATGATGGTAATGCGCTTTTTGCATCGCCTCACTGGCAGTAGACAGGATTCGGTTGTTGTCTTGATAGTCGCTCGAGCCGGATTCTCGCCGTCTCCCGCCCGAATAGGTCGAGGAGAGGGTTTGGGTGCGGCTCTTGTCGAGGAGGTATCGGGTGTCTCTGTCGCTACTCATGTTGTCTTGCTATCCTGAAGATAGTAGTCGGCTTGCTTGGTTTCTCGAGGAGCTTGTTAGATGGGTAGAAGATAGTACAGAGTGGAGCAAGGTGGCTCTTATACGTAAGGGAAGCATAAGCGATATTATGGTGGTGGAGTCTCATCACGTCCTGTGCCCGAGGATACAGCTGGGTCGTTTGGGTCAAGGGCTTACCGACCATGTTTCCTGGATCTCGTAGCACCTTGGGTAGCGATAAGGCTGAAGCATGCCTCCCTCCATCTTGCTGGTGGCGCCGTAGGCTCCTGATTTCTCAGCACTGAAACACGTGAGCCGTCGTCGCGTGCGTCAACTACTCCGCCATCTTCTGTCGCTAAGACAAGGAGTTCTTTCTTTATGTACTGGGTATGTCTGATACGTACCACTTGAGACTCTTTCAGATGACCTCTTGTTATCGATAACCAAGAGTGTTTCGCTAGACAGACTGACGGCCCGCGAAGTGATGGTGGAGCGCACGATTACATGATACTTCATCTCTTCTTCGTTCGTTTCCACCTGGGGGTGAAGCGGCTCGCTCGGTAGGCGAAGTGGGATACTGATCCTTTCATGATATGCATCACATATTACCCTTGGGCTCGACGGGGCATCTTTATCACTCTCTATGCATGGCATGTTGACTGAGCAGGCGAGCTCAAAGTACACACACCACCTCGGGCTCACGTCCTCGGGCCCGGGTCATCGGGTCATGTGGATAGCCGGCAGCAGTTCGCGCGTCTCCGCGTCGCGCCTGTGGTGCGTGTTTGCCATGATGAGATGGTCTCACATCATCCGGTATCAGCCACCAGGCCAGAGCCCGAGGCCCTTCATTCCTGCCGCTGTATATATGGATCCGAACCCACACATGAGAACGTGATACCCACGCTCTCATCGCTCTCGACATGTCCCAACCGCCCAACAACCCTCTCGCGAAGTCGCTCGTCTCTCTCATCAAGGTCGAACCGCACCCCTCCGATCCCCTCATCTTCCTCTCCGGCGCCGACTCCAGCGTCCCACCTGGCAAGCGCGGTGCGTACGGCGGCCTGCTCCTCTGCCAAGCCTTGCGATCCGCGAGCTACTCCATCCCCCCTCCCCTCGGTCTACACAGCGCCCACTGCTACTTTCTCCACCCGGGGCGTATCGACCACCAGATCGAGTATCACGTGGAGAACCTTAGCGATGGCAAGAGCTTTGCCAATAGGCTGGTCAAGGTAAAGCAGGATGGGAAGGTGATTTGCGTGGTGACGGCGAGCTGGACGCGGCCGCCGGTGCCGCTTCCCGAAGGGGTGTTTGCCAAGGATGAAGGGGACGCGGCGGACCAGGGTGGGGCGGTGAAGGAGTCGAACTCCCTGACCATGATGGTTCAGGCGTGGGAAGATAACAAGGAGAAGTCAAGACAGGAGGTGGGGAAGGACGGGTCCAGGGCGCCGCCAGTAGAGGCATTCGAGGTGCCGTTCCCAAAGTACTTGCTGCCATGGGACCAGACCCCGATCGACCGGCAAACACTCCAGCAGCTGCTGGATGAGAAGAAGGGGCAGGAGCTCGGCTGGAAGGAGCAGTACTGGAAGGCGCTTGTTCTGGTGAGTATCGTCTATTCCGTGAGACTGTTTGGTCAGCAGCTGATGCGAGCTCCATGCAGTACGGAGACGACGCCGCCTTCACCACCGCTGCGGCCAGACGACAGCCTGGGGCTCCGTACGACCCCAACTACTCTCACAATGGGAGGCCGACCACGCGGATGACATGGTTTGGCCCGAGGACGAGTCCAGACGACGAGTTTGACGAGGAGACTTTGAAGGTGCGTGACTTCACTGATGATGGCTGTCATCGGGTCATTACTGACGCCTCACCCCCACTCCATAGCTGATGGTCGCATTCACGAGCGACTTTCATCTAGGAGGCACCTCCTCCCGCTCCACCGGTCTCAACTCCAACTCTACCCCAACCATCGCGATGCTCGCGTCCCTCGACCACGCCATCCACTTCTACCCCTTCCCCAAGGACATTGACCCGCACAAACCTTTCCTCCATGTCATGGAGGCGCAGGTGGCCAATACCGCAGCAAACAGGGGGATGTCTAGGGGGAGGATCTATAGCACGGATGGGCATCTGTTGGCGGTCACTGGTCAGGAGGCGCTGTATAGGGCTCAGAGGCCGGGGGCTGCTCCTAAGGGGGTTGCTGAAGCGGGGTTGGACGCGGAGGATTTGGGAGCGAGGCTCTGAGCTGAAGCTGAGCAGTTGTACCGTGCCGATGAATAAGCATTACCTGTGCATACTTCTGGCCTGCACCAGAACAGATGATCGTACAAGGACTTGGGCCTCGCATATCTATCATCGATAGCTCGATAGCTGCCTGGACCTGGAGGCTGCTGGAGGCCGCCGCACGACGCACCCACCGGATAAACGCGTCGCGTGAATACCCGGCCCAGCGATCCATCTTCTCTTGCACCCTCCCGTCTTCTCGGCAGCTGTACCGCTCTTCTGGATATTGACGCTGCTCCTCGTCGCTCCTCCGGCTGCCGTCGTCCGTGTTATATATCGCCAACTCGTCTCTTCTGTCACTCATGAACCCTTTCACCCGCCACGTCCGCCCACCATGTCCTCCTGGCGGTCCACCCACCCATCCCTCATCGCTGGCATCCAGCTCCAGCCCCACCCCACCGACCCCCTCATCTGGCTCATGGGCGGCTCCAGCGTGCCCTCCGGCCCGCGCGGGGCATACGGGGGCATGCTAGTCGCCCAATGCCTGCACGCGGCGAGCAAGACGGTGAAGCCACCTCTGGGCTTGCACAGCGGGAGGTGCTACTTCCTGCTGCCCGCGCCGAACGACAAGCAGATCGAGTTCAAGGTGGAGAAGCTCAGTGATGGGCGGAGCATGGCGTGTAGGCTGGTGAAGGCCTGTCAGGGGGAGAAGGTGGTGTGTATCTCTATGGCGAGCTTTGCACTCCCTGGCAAGCCACTCCCCAAGGAGGCCTGGCAGGCTGATGGGACAGAGGAAAGTGGGCTGGTCAAGGTGTCAAACTCACTCACGATGATGTCGCAGCCATGGGGCGAGGATGAAGGGCTGGAAGACTCTCGACCGAGAGCGACATACCAGGTGCCATTCCCCGAGCACATGCTGCCGTTTGAAGAGTGCGAGGACAACATGGCGTATATCCTTCGGCAGACGAGGGAGAAGGGGGAGAAGGAGCTGGGCTACAAATGGCAGTACTGGCAGGACATGGCCCATGTGAGTTGGTTGGCATGGTCGCATCATCAATCACTCTTATCATCTTGGGCCGTGCTAATGCGGACACGTGGCGCTGCAGTTCAAGAGGGGCGCCGTGTTCACCACCACAGCTGCCAGGAGGAAGCCTGATGCCCCGTACAACCCCGACTATTATCACAAAGGCTTACCGACTACCCGCATGGCTTGGTATCAGCCTATGATCTACCCAGAGGACGTAGTTGACCATGAGCTGGCCAAGGTGTGTTCTACTCAAGAACTGGGAAGAGTGTCACTGACCGTAGCTGACCATGACCCCCCAAGATCATGCTCGCTTTCATCAGCGACTACCAACTCGCAGCCACCGCCTCCCGCGCCGCCGGCCTAAACACCAACTCCACCCCAGCGCTCAACATGCTCGCCTCCATCGACCACTCCATCCACTTCTACCCCTTCCCCGCGAACTATGACCCTCGCAGGCCAGTCTTGCACGTCAAGGAGGCGCAGTACGCGCATATCGGTGGGGGGAGGGGGATCGCACGGGGGAGGATCTATACGGAGGATGGGCATCTATTGGCGCTTACGGCGCAGGAGGGGATCATGAGGGCACAGAGGCCTGGGGAGCCGAGGAGGAGAATGCCGGAAGCGGGGGTGGATGAGGAGGATTTGAACGCAAAGCTCTGACGGGCTGGTAGAGGCGTTAGACTGGCTAATGCATCCACCTAGACTGATCATGATCGCCTCGCCTCTGTTCATCGGACCTAACATGGACGTATGAAGACCACATACATACTCGAGCAAGTCATGAGCTATAACCCCTCTGCACTGACCTTCGACCTGCGACCTCTTCACTCTCGTCAACTCACCTACCCTCGCAAATCCACGATGGACCGACCTCCTCCGGGATCCTACCACACCGCACTAGAACATAAGACTCACCTTTATCCCTTCATCAATCTCCGCTCTCAGATTTCCTCCGAGGCTTCTTCATCGGGACCCAGAGCTTTCCCCTTGTGGGGGCCACTGGCGCGTCGAACAATGGTCTGAGAACTGTTGGAAGGGCGCGAAGATTCAAGAAGAACACAACATTGTTGTTGCGTGACCTAGTGCTCGCTGGTTGTTGATGATTATTCCTTTAAAGCGGCGGCATATCACGCCGATTCATCAAATTATACAAGAAACTGTAAAACGCTATGTATATACACAACGATGCCACTTTAAATCAAATCATCAAAATCAATCAAATAGTAGGGGTGAATTATACTTCCGAGTAGTTTCGAAGTGACAAAAAGACAAAAAGATCTGAACCCTGCCTGGATCGAACAGACGACCGACGGATAGCAAACTACTGATCGTAGTGGATTTTTGGAATCCGGCATTCTACCACTGAACTAAGGGTCCTTCTGTGAAAATCAGGCTAAAACGTAATCTCATGTACGGCTTGATGACAACAGCGGCGCAACGCGTCCCGACGACTCTTCTCACATCGAAGTAATCTGCGCTATCTTGCATGCATCCTTGCACTTTTCGCAGGACAAGAGGTGACGCCATATCGGCCACACCCTCTGATAGCCTGAATGTGTCAAGTCTCAAGTGCATGGAGATTGATGGACTCCTTTCGAGTGAGGAGGAGGGTCTATGTATTAATTAATGATGAGACGCGTTTGGCCAAGAGATGCATGGTGTGGGTGAGCTCCCACTGTAAACTCCTACACTGGCCCTAGTACCAGAAATTGTACGCCTGACGCGCACCCGTATTGTCTCACTTCCGTGAGTACTATGTATCTACTTGCACTATCCCAAGGAGACTTCCAGCCTCAGTCACGCAGGGGCATGATAGGTACTGCACTACTACTAGTGCATCTCAACGGAGGTATGAATTGCATAGTACTATGCCATGCTGACATCTGATCCGACAGGCCGTTGTATGTAGGCCAACTGAATGGATCGACGGGGATCGCGCGCTTGTCGGTCGACGAGAGGCGGCGGTGGATACAAATGATGGGAGGCCATGGTGTGCCTAGGTGTACCGACACAGATTCTTCGGGCTACCCTTCCGTGCTTGTTCGGGTGTCGTTCCCAAGTCTTGCGCAGGAAGGACAGGGGAAGGAAGACGAACCCCGCAGAAAAGGTCATGGAATCATTCATGGCTGCGGCGGGGTGCCGGAGGGCGCGGAAGTAGTAGTGCGGGACAGGACCCGGAAGAGGTGCCGAGAGTCACAGCTGTATGAACATATACAAGAAGATGTGATACATTTTTGGTCTGACCAGCCTGATCCACAAGTGAAGGACACACGACCTTCATTGAGGCTCAAGCACATGATGGCCATGAGGTATGTAGATGTATACACAAGTCGCTTCCCGCGATCAAACGGTGTAAAGCTACAGGACCAAGCCCGACGGTGGGACCACCACCCCTTCCTTCTTCCCCACATTCAACGGCAGTACACCCCCACCCTCGTACCCCTTCCCCTCAGTTCCAATCCCAGCACCCACCTGCACCTTCTCACCCCGGACCACTTCGCCCACAACACCTTCCTCCATCTCCGACCCATCACCCTCCATAGCAAGCAGATCATCCAGCGTCAGGCGGGTGACTTCTCCGTCTGCGCCGCCGGTGGCGATGCCCGAGCCGGGGGTGGAGGCGGTGGTGGGACGGGGAGCGGGTGTGGTGCCGCTTTGTGCTGGGGCAGGAGGGTTTGTGAAAGCAGGGCGAGAGGCGATAGGGGAGGTGGTGCTGATGTCCGCGAGTTTAGGCTTTTCCTTTGCCCCACCAAGCTCGACTTCTACAGCCCCTTCTCCATCGGCCTGTGACCCAGACCCGAGCTCTTTGGCGTTAAGCGCCTGCATCTTGAGGTGCTCCTCGCTCAGCTCGCTCCCAGACTTAGGCAATTGGAGGGTAAGTTTGTCCGCCAAAGCGAGCTCGTCGAGCGGTGTGTCAGGCGGGAGGATAGCGTCGTTGGAGTCGCTGGACTCATCCGAGTTTGCAGAGTTGAGCACAGAGGGTGAGCCAGTGGATGAAGCTGTACCAGACCCGGACCCGTCCGAGGGGGTGCCATCAGACGACTCGGAGTCCGAGTCAGAGTCAGAGTCATCAGAGTCCGACCCCGAATCACTCTCCTCGCTATCCGAATCATCGTCCGAGTCTGTCAGCCCGAATGGCTCCGACCTCTCTGACCCCACCTCACTCCGCGGTGTGTCCACCGGCGTAGTCATGTTCACCGGTGGAGCCGACAGAGCAGGCGGAGTGATGTCCCGCATCTCGGCGCGCATGTCGCGCAGCTGGGCGCTGGAGGGCGTGGGGGACTCGACAGCAGTGGTGCCTTCAGACTCGTCGTCGCCGTCGGTGGGGCGGGCACTGGGTCGAGCAGCGAGGAGCTGGGCGGTATCTTTGTGTTCTGGGGAGGGGGAGGGGGAGGATACGGCGACTTGCTGGGGGTTCTTTGAGCGGGGTTTCAGGCGCTGCGATGATGTCAGCTGGGATGCCATCAATTGCGATGCTATGTGTAGCTTACCAGAGGCTTGGGGCGCGCCCTCTCTTTACCAGTCTCGCCCTCGCCGTAGCTCACCAGTGCCCAAACGAGACCCACGGCCTTGAACGCCCACCAAAGCGGGACAAGAGCCAGAACCGTGTCCTCACCAAGGGTGCTCTCGACAAAGACAGACGTCCCGTACACCACCCAGTAGTCCATCCACCATCTCGTGGTCTGGTGCTTCGCCCACTCTGCATCGTCGTTCCTCTTCCTCTGCAGACCTGGCGTCATGGGTGGGGTAGAACCGGAAAGGCCCAAAGCGGGAGCGTGAAGGTGCTTGAAAGTCAAGTAGAATGCAGGGAGGAGCCCGAGGAGGTTGGTGAGTACCGGGGAGAGGTGATTAGGGTTTAAGAGGAGAACAGATAGGAGGATGAGGAGAGAGCAGTGGGCCAAAACAAATGGAGGGCGGTCAATGCGATTTGAGATGGATAGGAGGAGGGGGTATTGGGACATTTTCTGGCAGGGTACGGGTCAGCTGAAGACGAACTCAGAGAGAGGAAAGCGTCGAATTACATGAAGATACTCACTTCATCGTTGAAATGCTCGCTCGCAGAGACGAGACTTTGGCGAACCCGCGCCGTCAAGGGGGTGTATGCGGTGGTAGAGCCCATGGTACGATGGCAGCTTTCGAGACCACTTCGTTAGCTTGAAGCTTTGTAGATGAATCCGAGTAGCGCTCACACCTCTCTCAGCCATATTTGTCAGCCATGCAAGTATCGACAAAGCATACGACCCTCCATTGATGCGTGCCGGGTGGGTCCAGGTAGCCGGCGGTATCCTTTCATGGCTTCGATGGGGGGTACCGAGCCATGACGGCGAGTTTCACCGCATCAAAGGTGGGTTGTGGAGGTGACAGATCGAGAGAGATGTGGGGAAGGTGGAGCCCATCGTCGCTCAACGAGCATCCATCTCATGCACTCGTGATCATAAGGTCTGGTCGAGATGTGGGTCGTCAGCGGATTGTCCGGTCACGATGGTACGGCATCGAGGATGGCATGAAGACATGGCAGGGAGTCAAGATACTCACCTAAGGCATGGTAGTAAAGCACATAGGGATTGGATGCAGTCTGGCAGCTTCATGAGTTGGGCTCTGTCGTCAGCGTCACAAATTGTTGAGGTCATCCACGCGAAGGCCGCCGAGAAGACGGAGGACGACGTGCTGGTGGGGCCGGCGGCCCTCCCCCTTTCACTAGCTCGATTCCCGTGTATCATGCATGGTCTAGGCCATGCATGCCACCCCCAGCGTGGTCCCGTATCGCTGTTGTCGCTGCTGGGCGATGCATGGAGAACAAGAACAGAGGGAAAATAGACGGCGGTGGTTAGTATACGCGCCCTCGAGTCCGTTCCTGAGAATCCCACCATCGAAGTGCCGCACCAGCACCAAGCACGGCAAGCACCAACGCACCACTCTTCGCTTTCCTCAGCTCGTCGCATTGCAGCAGTATACCCATCCACACTACCCCCGCCCCCTCCACCCTCCACACACCGCTCCCCATGTCCCCTCCTACCTCCCCGCTCAACTCCACAGACGCCCCCACGCCCCTTACCTCGTCCTCGTCAAAAACAGGGAGAAGATCGGTCCGCCTCTTCGCCCCTGACGAAGAGTCGAGCTCTGACGAAGAGGGCTTGATAGGGGCCAGTGGAGGCGACCCGTCTTTTGGAAAGGACGATGGTGAGTGCTATCCTGATATATACATCCGCTATAGCACCGCTGACTTCATTATCCATTTCAGTTCCACCAACAAACACCCGTTCGTCATCGTACCCGGGCCCTCCGACGCACACCTCGCCTACTTCACGCATCTCATCTATCGTATCCTCGGCCTCTGCTGCCCAGCCCAAACTCGCCCGGTCCATCACCTATGTCGCCCCCTCGTCCGTCTCCTCCCGCCCTTCCTTCCCTCTCACGCCCAACGTCTCGGACCCCTCCACTGCCCCTCCGCCCGCTGTCAACGCAGCGTACGACGCCTGGCGGACAAAGTACGCCAGTGACGGGGTCGCTCGGGTGCTGAGCCGCGGGGACGGCTCGGGAGCCGGTGCCGCCAGCGCCGGTGGGAGAGGCAGGACGTACTCTGCCGACCCGGATGCGAACTACTTCCACGCAGGTCCGTCAAGGCAGGGCGACCTCGGCTCGGATGACGAGGACGAGGCGATGGGCTCCCCTGGCTGGCCGCACGCGATAGACCAGTCCAAGCAAGACGATCCCGCGCACCAGCTTGATATCGCCTCGTTGGACTTCAGCGAAGATGAGGGGCAAGAGCGGCTCGACTGGCAGGGGATGCTAGAGAGCGTGCTCAAGTCGGACGTCCTCAAACTTGAGGAGGCGCGAATCTCGCAGACGATGCCCACCGACTCGTTCAGAGGAGAATTCGGGCAGGCGCTGTGGTGGGGGATCCGGGCGAAATTGAGAGGAAGGACGGAGGAAGAAGAGAAGAAGCGGGTGAATGAACGGCGGGCGAGGCTGGTAGACCCCGTGCTGGAGGAGGTCGCGTCGTTCAAGTACGACCCCAAGGCGGGGTCTGTGGGCGAAGGCGACGCCGACGAGGACCCGGAGGATCCCACGTCCACCGCTGCGCCCCAGTCCCGCGCTTTGGCACAGGTCAACACACTGCTTGCCAAGCTTGGAGCGGTCAAGGCCCTTTACCCTACCCTCGCGGCCATGCGCCAGGACAAGGCCATCTACACGTCGGCGGACTTCCGCCAACGCGCCGACGCGCTCACCGCGTGGTCGATAGTCGTATCGTCCCTCCAGACTGAGCTCAAGCTCCTCCAAAAGTGGACTGGCTCAGACGATCTCGACATCACCAAACCCAACACCACCAAGGAGAAGGCGCTCGTGGGCAAGTACCGGTATCACCCACTTGACCC